CTTTGTTGGGGGGGGAACGCTTTTTTTTTTTTTTGGGGCTGGGGGTGGGGGACCGAGAATTGGTGGGGTCCGGTTCTGGGGGGCGCCAATGGGGAAGGGGGGAAAAACGGGGGCTTTCCTTGGGGGGGGGAAAGGGGGGGGGGGAGCCGGGGAAAGGGGGGCGATTTTTTTTGGGGGGCCGTGGAAAAAATTTTTTTTCCCCCCCTTAAGGGAAAACCGGGGCCAAATAAAGGAGGCTTAGTTTTCCCCCCTTGAAAAAATTTTCGGTTTTCTTTTTGGGGGGGTTTTTAAAATTCCTCAAAAAAGTTTTCAGGCAAAAAATCGGGCCCCGGGAAAAAGGGGGAAAAGGGGTCCCTCCCCCCCCCCCCCCCCCCCGATGCCCGCCACCCCCACCCGCATAGATACCCTGAGACGAAAAGCACGACACGCCGCCGTCATTATCCTCACCTCCACGCTGGCGAGAACCCGGCGTGCTTTCGTCCCGGCTTTGCAGGGTTGTGAGGTCAACGGTCTAACGACAGCGGCACGCACGGCTATGAGTACAACCCTCCCCATCGCCCTGCGCCGCCGCCCGCCTGATCGCCCGCCCGCTCGGCCGGCCACCCACCCACCCACCCTTTCCTACCGGACCACTTTTTTGCCCCCCACATCCCTATACCACTGCCCCCTTTTTCCGACGCAATAATACACCAAGACCACGCACCTTCTCGGACACCGCGCTGCTTGTCTCGCTGCCAATGGAGTGGGTGCGGTGGACGCTCTTAGGCTTGCCGGAGGAAGAGGGCCTGGTGACGGCGGCGGCTTCTTGGGAGGTGGAGCGGACGAGGGCGTGGTGCGGGCTCGGGCCCATGCTGTGGGAGGCCGTCATCTCGCTCTTTCCGACGTGGAGCCCCTGCTCTTCCTCGATCGTGGACAGCCTCTGTGAAAGTGCGGGGAGGGGGGGGGCGGGGGGGGTGAGATGTGTGTTTGTGTAGTGCAAGGCCAGGCTCGACAAACAACGAGAGAAAAAAAAAAAAACGACAGCAACAAGGCACGCCAAACTGTTTTGTAGGAGCCTCTTCCCCGCAGGAGAGATGATATCGATCGCTGGATGTTGCTCGACGAACCGTAAAAACACAGGTAATCGTGTGGTCCGCGAAAGCTGCTGCTGTGGGTTCATTGCTAATTTATCCCGGAACCTCATCTACGGATAGAGATGGATTCGTTGGAGTACGTTGGAGTACGTGGGAAGCCGGCACCAAAACGTCGTCGGACCACCGACACCATCGGCTTGAGATTCGCCTGTTTCACGCGCCTCTCTCCTCTACCGACCCCCTCGCTCCGCTCTCTCTCACCTCTTGCATCACCGCCGACTTGCGGGGCGGGCAACGGGCGGCGGCGGCGGCGGCCGCCCGTCTCCTCCGGCCGTCCATCCCCTTCTCGGTGGCGTGTTTGGCCACCAAGCACGAGCAGCAGGAGCAGAGGAGCATCGCCGTGACCAGGATGAACGCCACGAGCACCGTCGCCCAGGTGCTCGCCCCCTCGTCTTCTGGAAGGTCGTGGCGTGACCGTCAAGTCGCACGTACCACCGCCGCCGCAGTACCCCGTGAGAGATACAAAGAGGGGGTCCGGGAGAGATTGATACAAACAAAGAGAGAGGGGGGGAGGGGGGTCAGAGGGTGCCTGGGAAAGAAGCATCGATGACATCACGGGGGGTTTCTAGGAACATAAAAAAATTGATATTGAGCACTACAAAAAATAAACAGGTACTTGCACTTGCTGAGTAAGAAACAACGAAACACACACACTCGAACACATGATGATTTTCATGTTCGTTCTTTTCGCGGTGCACCACGCGGACGCGATGCAGTGGTCCATGCCCCAAGTTCTCCTCTTCCCTATACCCTGGTTCTACACGCTTGGAATAGTAATTCTGGCTCCCCGGAAGCAAGAGTACCGATAGAAGTCCCAGCCAGGACCGCGAGGCGATCTCGCACAACTCGCCTAATGCTGAACGTGACACACTCCCAACATTATAACATCCCAACCAAGTGCGAAGAGCCAGGCTGAAAAAAGAGAGACGGACATGGTCCACTGCACTCAAAGGTGAGCAGCACCGTTGGTGCGGAACGCGGCTCGACGACAGAAATGCACCATGCGGCGGTGTCCTCAAGTAAGTGCCGTTCAGCCGGACAACGGACAAACAGGGCGGCCAACTGATTTATCCTCATAGCATCGCGCATACCGGCTGGCCAACGTCAGTCTAACAGCCGGGTAACTTGTACCACGGGGACGCGTTGTGTGTGTGTGTGTGTGTGTTTTTTTTTTTTTATTATTAGCATCGACCGCGCTAACCGGCTGACCAATGAAAATACGTCAGTCTCAGTGCGGTTGAAAACACAAAACACTTCTATCTGCCATGAACTGGGACCTCGTGAGGGGGCAGCATGGGCGTGTGTGTGTGTGTGTTTTTTTTTTTTTTAAATTAAACAATACCATCGACCGCGCTAACCGGATTAATTACCCGTCCTGGCCACAAGAGGTTCCCAGTTGAGGGTAAATTCTGTGGGTGGAGAGTGTTAAGGAGGACCCGATTCGCAGGGTATCCGTCGATTGACTTTTACCAGAATCGGTACACCTTCGCACTGACCAATGAAAATACGTCAGTCTTAGGTGCGGGTGAAAACCAACACACTTCTAGATGCCATTAACTGCCTGCGCGCATTTCTTGGTGTTCCCGGTACACTTCCGGCCCTCCCCACGAAAACAAAAACACACAAGTAGGCACACACACAATTCAACGGCACTGAGACTGACGTTTTTTCATCGGTCAGCCGGTTCGCGCGGTCGATGCAAGAAATCAAACGCACACACAAAAAGCCGACACAAGTTCAGTATGAGAGATCATCGTCCGAAGGCGTGTGCCATTATCAAAGGAAGGACCACCCCCCCCGAGTGGAGATAGGCTGCTGTGCTCTCTTACAACCCTCTCGGATCATCCTCACCAGCTTGGTCGAAGTCGCTGGAGAAGGTGAATTCACCCCCCTCGAAGTACGCCAGGTCTCCGAAGTTCAGGTCCGCCACGTCGATGCCAAGAGCGCTTGCGACTCCTGTCAGGGACGTCTGCGTGCGTAATGAACACAGGGGGGGGGCGTGGTGTGGGAGTAGCAATAACAGAGCCTACAAAGCTCGCTCCAAGCGATCCATGGCCACGGCAGTGGATCGGTTGCTCTTACTGTGGCAGGAAGGGAATGGGGGCAGGGCAAGGGCCGCGGGGGCACGCCGCTGCGCAGAAAGATATCGCTTTATCGTCATCCTTCCGCTGCTGATGTTGACGGATCAAACACACACGTGTGTCCTTGATGGAAATATAGATAGATCGTAAAAGACACATCCTTATTATACACTGCTGCATCTCAAAGAGAGACCACCTGTTCGAGATGTAATGGGGGGTGTACTCATAGTCGTGCATGCCGTAGACGTTAGACCATTGACCTCGCATCCCCACAAGCCGGGAAGGAGCACGCCGGGTTCTCACCGAACCGGCTAGAACATCACCAAGCGCGAAGCGCCGTGAGGTATTCGGCGAGTCGCATGACGGGTGCGCTGCATCCTGCTAAGGGTGATCGGCATCTTGTGCTTACTTCCTTGCGTACGGATGACAGCTACGTATGACTTAATTTATTTTCTGGTGCTTTACCTTCCAGAGACAGTTGTAAGCACTGCGTAACTGCCTCGAGGGTGCTTGGCCAATTTAACACAACGTGGTGCGATCATCCCCTTTGCGCGGAGTGAGGGTTCTCGACCCTGCGCAACATAATCTACTCGACAACCACTATGGTTACCGCAAAAAAAAAACAGAGGCAAAAAAAAAAAAACGCTAACCTGGTTGCCGAGCTCACGAAGTGATCGGCTTGTTTTTTCAACGTCCTTGCCAAGCGACGAAAAACATGTAATGGGGGATGGGCTAAAGTCTTTACAGCGGCGAGTGGTAGCAAAAACCGGCAGCGCGCATCTTGTGTTTTTGGCGTCGTTAGATGACGTGCTTGTGTTGAGTCTTGGGGGCGTTTTCCTCTCCCTCCCGTGCTGACACCAGGCACGTGCCTTCATCTCTCGACGAGAACAACAACGTGACCAACGCCTGGTTTGAAGCCCAGCAGTCGCGACATCGACAAAAAGCCCCACACACTCGGAGGTTTTGGTCGTTTTGGTCGTCGGACGGCGGCGGCTTCTCCGCCCAATTTTACCGCCGGGAACGGCTTGTGTCAAGGTTTCTACAGAAAACAAATGGGGGTCGTACTATAGGTGAAAGAAAGTCAAATCACCCGACCCACTAAACAATGAAGTGCATAGTCTGCGCGCTGTACCACACTCTTTGGAAGTCAGAACCCACCATCGCCTTCTTCCTGGCAACAAAACTACAACCTCTCTCTCTCTCTCTGCCTTTGAGGGCCCATCCATGTCTTCTCACCTGGTCGGCAGCCTTGTTGAACAGGTCCGCCGCCTGCTTCGACCCCGTGAGGGGTGCTGCCTCCGACTCGACCGCGCCCGCGGTCGGGGTGGGGACCTCAAACTGCACGTCTTCGAACTCCGCTAGCCGCCGCCGCCGCCGCCGTCGACCTAACCGGAACCCCTCCTCGTCCCTCGAGGAGAACGTGAGTAGCGAGCGCGCCCTTCTCACCGAAGTTTCGCCTACGATAACGGATTCCGGGCCGTCCACGCACTCCACAAGGGCACACACGGCCTGTTTCGGGGGCAGTTAGGGAGGGGGGGGGGGGGTGCTCGTTGCCGACTGACTTGACTGACCGCACCTACAGCAACTTCAATTATTCTCAATAACCTAC